AAATGACCGAACATTTTTTTCTTAGTGCAATTTTTTGCTTTTCGAATAAAAAAACTGATTCCTCGCACTTTTCAACATAAAAAAGCCCTCTTGTGAATTCTCGTTATAGTTAGCCGTTTTTGAGATATTTCGATTTCTAAGGTTCGATGCATTTTTAATTATTTATGATAAAATAACGTTAAAAAGTCAGTATCTCGATAATTTTTAGAAGTAGGCTGTGCCTGCAAATATTTTTGGAATTGAAAGCAGAATAAGGTTGAACGTCAATTAATTGACAGTTAGTTTTGTTGTCTGTTGAAACCTGAAACGTTTTTTTGCAATTGTGAATGCACGAAATTTAGTTTCTTATACCTGTTTTTTTGTTTTATAAAAATGCCATTTTTATTCTCCAATCAAGAGTTCGCGGATATTCATTTTGTGTATGGCTTTTTAAATGGAAACGCAGCAGAAGCAGCCAGAGAATACGCACGAAGATTTCCAAACAGACGACATCCTTCCGCAAAATCTTCCATAAAGTGGATGGACACAGATCCAATCGAGGATGGACCCATTCGGGTCTTCCTCAATGCTACGCTCTACGGTAGCGATAGTTTCTTCTGTACGCACCGTATGGGTCTCTGAGGATGCAGTTATCAATTGGAGTAAACGTGGTGCGAATACGTTCCATGGTTAATCGAATTAACTGCTCTGATGGACGATTTTATCGACGATAAAATGGACGTAGTGCGCGATACGTATTCCGCACAGAACCATTATTTTCGAAATAAAACTGCACAATTTGCAAGCGTTGTTCACGCGTGAGTGTATTTATAACGAATTGCCAAACCAAACTGAGAATAAATCACTTGACAGCTGTCAAATCGGTCGCCGTCTTCAAAAGTAATGCCAACTTAAAGTTCTATATCACGAAAAAAAAACACCAGTTATATACTGACAAGGCTTTAACGCCTTTACACGGTTATAGTATGGGCTTTGCCCGTATAACCTGATTTTATAATTTAGATTGTTAGAAGCTCCAAGCTGTTTCTTTTGCCTAATTCTTCGAACTGCATGGCGCCCAAACCTCAACCATTTGTATCAAAGATCAAAGTACGAAGAACCACACTGTGAGGTCACTGCTTGGTGTTTTATTGCAAAAACACACATGCGAAGTCTGCAGGTTCTGCAAAGCAGGACGTTGCGCACTATTGCTGATGCCCCATGGTATGTCTCTAACGAAACTCTAGATAGAGACCTCGATGTCCCTTACCTAAAGGACTACATTAAGCAACAGGCGCAGCGGCGCTATAGCCTAGCGGAATCGCACAGCAACCCTCTGTTGCGTGAGTCAGTGGACTACACAGTCGAGCAAGTTCGCAAGCACAAAAGGCCGCGGCTCGTACTGTAATCAAAATTAACTCGTGAACTTAGAACAACCAAAATTGGAGCATTTTTACACAATCTTTAGAAAAAATCAAATATTTTTAGACCATATCAAAATCTGTGAAGCGATTTTAACCCTCCATCGCTCGCACCGTTAGAAAATATCTAACATTTTTTAAATTTTTTTTTTTAAATTTGAAATTTTGCGGCTTAGCAGGCCCACCATCTAGGAATACTCCTTCAAACTAATCTACTATGTGAATCTGTGGTCGTGGGGAGGATCTATTTTGTTCTAGTGTCGCAATCGCATAATGTTAGTTCCAGTCTAGCACGCGAGTGATGGCGTTCGGCCGCGGGTTAGATAAACAAATTGTAAACAAGCTTATTCTCCGAGATTTTACGTAACAATTGACGAAATGTTGGAGGCATTTCGGGGGAGATGCCGATTTTGACAATACATAGCCAACAAGCCCGCCAAATACGGCATCTATGGGTTAGTAGACGCCAGAACATTTTTTACATCAAATCTTGAAACCTAGGCGGGTAAACAACCAGAGGGACCTAAAAAATTACGAACGTTGTATTGAGACTTATAGAGCCAATTAGTGGTACAGGAAGAAATGTAACCACTGACAATTATTTCACCTCAGTGCCATTGGCTAATAGCTTATTAGTAAACCATCGACTAACTACAATAGGAACAATTCGCAAAAATAAGCCTTAAATTCCTCGAGAACTTCTAGATGTAAAAAGCAGCATGTTTGCATATGGTGAAGACTCTGATGAAAACCCCAATAAGTGCCTTCTTGTTTCATATGTACCAAAGCGAAACAAAGACGTGCTGTTATTATCAACCCTGCATGATGATAGTAAGATCAATGATGACACTGGAGATGCTTTCAAGCCCGAAGTTATTACAGACTATAATCTTACGAGAGGAGGCGTAGATGTGGTCGACAAAATGAAATCTGAATATTCAACAGCACGATTCAGCAATAGATGGCCATATACCGTATTCTGTGGGCTTCTGAATATATCAACCATCAACAGCCAAATAATCTATCGAGAGAATACAAAAAATATTATTACCAGAAGACAATTTATATCGGAACTTAGTAAATTGCTTGTCATGCCTCACCTGTATAGACGTTCTCAGATTCCAGGTCTGCCTTATCTACTTAGTCAAAAGATTAGAAACATAACTGGAGAAAGACCAACCCCAAATAGAGACCAAGCCACTCAAGCCAAAGTGAGATGTGAATTCTGTCCATTGAGAAAAAACAGGTTCACTCAGAGAGATTTTTCAACCTGTAGATCACCGATATGCAAGGAACATACAGCAATAACTTCATTGACCTGTCGTGAATGCTATGGACGTAACGAGAATGTTTAAAGTGCGTAAGTGTTTTGTAAAGCATTCATGTAAACGCTTTCAATATATACCCTGCATTTATTTTTTTAGGGTTTTCTTCAGCTCTAGAGGATTCCAGAATGAAACATCAGAAGAAGAAACCTTCAGTTCAGAAATTTTAGATGAAGAATTTTCAATGTTTCGTTAGTATTTTTGTTATAGTTTATAACAATAATGTTTCACTAATGTATAGCTTAATAGTATAAGTAATACTATACTTGACAATATAAACATTTAATTTAAGTAAAAATAGCATTTTTATTGAACATCTGAATGTTAGATAAAATCTAGCACGCGAGCGATGGTGTAATAAAATGAGGCGCGAGCGATGGAGGGTTAACAATGCCTAAACGCTGCCTATCCTAAAAGATTCTCTTCTTCCCCTTTGCTCTCGTTCTTCCTTCTCTCCTTTCCTTCCCCTTTTTTCCTTAAAATTGTCTGGTTTCTGGGTTACCAGACCTGAAAGACTTACAAACTGAAACTGTGACTCAAGAGCTAAGGTCCCACGGACCGCTCTGACAACCAACGATGACTTGATGGCTGTGAGGTCACATTATCTACCAACTGCGCACAGCTTACGTTGGATAACAAGTTTCTAGTGATCATATCATTGTCATTATAACTCTTTTTCCTGTATTTGTCGAGGTTTTGTTTTGTATCAATACATATACTCAATATGTATATACAGGGTGGCGCATCGAAAACGAAACAGACTTTTACTGGCAGCTCAGTTTTTTTTTGGAAAAACGCTCAGAACCGTCGATTTTGTTTCCGAGGGAGACACAAGTTTGGAAAAAAATCACGTTAACACGTGCAGCCCCCTGGGCGGGGGTGACACCAACCCTCAAATCTTAAATGGAAAGGCGGGTCGAGTGATACCTTATTTCAAAGGTCTTTCAATTCCCTTTATAATGATGTAAAATACATGAGCTTCAGTTCAGTAGTTTTGAAGATTTATTGACTTAAAGATTAAAGTAGACTTTAATAGGTACATCAGATTAGTTTGTACTATTTTCAAAAGAAATATGACTAAAAGAATTTACTTAATAAGGAAATACTTTTTTTCACTATACCCATGGTTTGTTTATCATTTTGTTGTTGAAAATTGCTATTGGAGCGTTTTTTTGTGGCAAAAAAGTTATTTCTTGAAGATCGGCGGTACAGTGCGACTAGGTTGATGTTCCAACAGGATGGTGCCCCACCACATTACGCATTACGTGTCCGACAATATTTAGATCAGACGTTTCCAGATCGATGGATTGGTAGACGAGGTGCCATTGAATGGCCTCCAAGATCGCCAGATTTATCACCTTTGGATTTCTTTATGTGGGGTCATTTAAAAAGCAAAATCTACTCAGCCAACATCATTAGAAGACCTGCAACAAAGAATTACTCCTCAAATATTGCAGAATGTGCGGCAACGTTTTGAGCAAAATCTTTATAATTGCATGGAGAGTCATGGTAGCCATTTTCAACATTTACTTGCCTAACGGGTTAGTTCAGTCTTCATTTTTAAATTACTTTGTTGCCAAATGTATTGATCTCCACTAATGACGATGAATTAGTTTTATTTAAGCTATATATCAATAAATCTTCAAAACTACTGAACTGAAGTACATTAATTTTATATCATTATAAAGCGAATTGAAAGACCTTTAAAATAAGGTATCAGTCGACCCCCCTTCCCATTTAAGATTTTGGGGGTGGTGTCACCCCCGCTTAGGGGGCTGCACGTGCTAACGTGATTTTTTGCCAAACCTGTGTCCCCCTCGAAAACAAAATCGACTGGTCTGAGCGTTTTAAAAAAAAAACTGAGCTGCCAGTAAATGCGTCTGTTTCGCTTTCGATGTGCCACCCTGTATGTACATGATACTGTCCATATTTGTACTGTCTGAAAAGCGTCCTCTGGAGTAATGTTAGGTGCTCACCTACAGAGATCACCTTGGTGCTCTGAAATATGCATGTAGAGTGCTCTCATCAGCAACGTTGGAAATCGGATTGATCGCACATCCAAGGAGGTCGTTGATATGTGAAGCCACTTTTTATTCTCCTTCACGCGATCAGACCCGGTAATTGTTATCTGCTTTAACGATCCATTCGTACAAATGTCGAACATACCTGCGACTTTCAGGAATCGTGCTCCAAGCGGAACGATCCGATTCCAACCGGCAGAGAGCAATTGATTGCGCCGTTGAGGTTGTGTGAAATGCGACTTTGATATTTTACGGTTATTATCACGCTTTGCCGGCCGAACTTCTGTCCGGACGCCATGTTAATAGCTGCCGGTACCGGCCGAATGGCGTGTCGATTGTATGCGGGTTAGTTTATTGGTCCAGAGGGTGGCGACCGGCGAGGTGATCACTATTTTCCATGGGGTCCATTTTTGCTGCTAAGGCTACGGCTTCAATCATGTGCGCACGTGGATCGTGCTGACACCATAGGGGCGACGGTCTCTCAAATACGCTGAGTCTCAGAAAAAGGTAAACACCTATGTATGTTTATCCGATTTCAATAATCTTCGGCATATCTATAATATTATAGCCTAACCGGTCTTGACATATTTTTGATTTTGTATAAGAGGCCATTTTCAATTTCATGTTTATAAGAAATGTTTGTGTTATTTTTGGACCTGTGATCTATGCCATCAACGTTGTTACGATTTTCTGCACCACCCTGTATACGTATAATAAATAATAATAATTTTAATTGCCAAACAGTCTCCCAATTAGAGAACAATAATACAAAAGCATACAGTAAAAGTAAATATAAAAAACTTCTTGCTGGCGGATCCAAAACGGCATTCTTGAATGCGTCAACTGCTTCTTCTGGTGACTGGAACCTTTGACCAGCAGTCTGTTTTTAATTTTCGGGAAAGTAAAGAAATCGTTAGGACTATATGGAGGATGGTCCAATAATTCCACGTTTTCTTCCGTTAAATACTGCCTTGTTTTTTGGGCAGTGTGGGAGCTTGCACTGTCTTGGTGGAGGATGATTCTTCTGTAGGGGTTGATTTTTCGAAGCTCGGTGTTGACTTTTGGCAAACAAATGGTGGTGTAGCAATCCGCAGTAACAGTTCTTTGCTCATTAAGAGAAATTGTTGCAATATAGATCCGCTTTTGATACAAATGTCGAGACCATCTTTTTCGAAACACTTCGAGAACGGATGACTTATGTTGGATTTTCTTCACCTTGGAACACCCAAACAGCCGACTGTCGTTTATTTTCTGATTCATAACAGTAAATCCACGATTCATCACCACTAACAATGCTGTACACATTTTTTGAGTTTCCGGAATTCAAACGGTTAAGCGTTTTTTGACACCAATTAACCCTGGCTGCTTTCTGTTATTCAGTCAACAGGTGGGGTATCGAACGAGAAACTAATTTTATTACTCCTAATTCTTCATGTAAAATTATTTGAATTGAGGTCTTTGAGATCTTCAAGGACGCCTCAATCTCGTAAGATGTCACATGTCTATCGTCAATGATGAGTTTGCGCACAGCATCGACGTCTTCCTGGGTGACTGCCGTCTTTGGTGCACCCACCCTGGGATCGTCGCTCAGACTCACCCGTTTGAATTCTCCATACCAACGGGAAATTGTCGACTGATGTGGCGCTTCGTTGCCGAAAACATACAGTAACTCAGGAAGGCATTCTTGTTGCGATAATTGTCTCTGAAGGTTGTAATAAATTATGGCGCGAAAATGTACTCGGTTGAGTTCCATTTTTCTAATGACTTGGCGACACTTAAAAATTTACTGTAGTGAGAACGCTGCACGTATTGTTGTGAAACTTTGAATTTAAGTTTACCAAAGAGTGAGGTTGAGATTGAGTACTGACGTTCGATCCGCGCGGCATACTATGTTTCTATATGCAAAACTTAAAAGACATCCCTCGTATAAACAATAATTAAATTCGCGAAGTACGAAAAAGAGCAAATTACATTAAAAATAAGATATAATTATTGACGTTATGTCAAGTATCAGTGCATTTAACTTCTAGAGAAGAATTCAAAGGAGGCACATTAAACATGTAATGAAAGTTAAATCCTTCATGTGGTTTCTGCTGACTACAATTCAATATTTTCGAGATACTGTCAAGGTTTATGCCAGAAATAGCCAAAATTGAATTCAAATTCAAATCTCCACACAATACAGTGTGAGTCTTCATAAAGTGCACATATCAAAATCAGGGAAACTACACTCTATTTCATCGACGGATAAATCATCAAAAAAAAAATGAAAAACAATAATTGATTTTTTATGAATATTTTAAAATTTTTAGAGTCAGCTGCTAACCCTATTTAAATAAATCGTTACAACTTTTAAACTGAATGTCCTATCATATTGGAATACATTTTGTAGTGATTGCTGGTAAAAGGACGTGCCTGAAAAGTGAAGAATTCCAGGAAAAGTAATGACATCCATTTAGAATAAAGAAAACTTTGATAAAAATCTGTTTTTTTTTTTCATCATTTATACAATAATTTCAAATTTTCTATAAATATCGTCGCTTGTACCCTACCTTCTTTTATTTGTAAATTATTCTACATGTTACCAGCTTTATAAAAGTAAAAATTGCACGTTTATTACTCAAATGTAACAGTTTCTATGAGCCCATGCGCATCGTCTTGCTAGGCACCATTGTTTATCATGTAGATACGTTTTTTTGGTGATTCAATGTAGAGTCGCGCGGGCTGAAGTACGAGTGGGGGGCGGGCCCAGTTGAAAAACAATTGAATGTTGGGCGGTTAGGCAGCTATTTGTGTTTCTCCTGCCAACTTTATCAGTTTCGTTTGCTACATATCACGCTTTCGCTTTTTGGTCGCGATGCCACGTATAAGTGATTTCCCTCCGGCACACATTGCCGATATCCATTATTATTATGGAATATACCGAGGGAGTGCTAGAGCTGCTTGCACAGCTTATCTAGCTGCATTTCCAAATCGACGCCCTGTTCCATCAGCCCGTAACTTTCAAGAAGTACATAGAAGACTGGCTAACACTGGACTTGGTTTGCCTCGAGATCGCCGCGAACCAGGTGTTATTATTCATGTTGCTATCGAAGAAGCCATTTCGGATGATTTGTTTGCTGACCCGACTACTAGTCCGAGACGTTTGGCGTTACGTCATGGCGTATCCCAGAAATCGGTTTGGTGCATCTTGAGGAAAGCAGGGTTGCATCCATACCATTTTCAAAGGGTGCAGCACTTGCCAGACTAATTGACAACTTTTTGATTGGTCCAATAATACTCCCGAGGACATTAAACGGAGAGGGATTTCTGGAGCTTTTGCGGACTGAACTGCCCTTGCTGTTGGAAGAAGTGCCGCTGCAAACCCGTCGAAGAATGATGCTTCAAATGGATGGATGTCCTGCCCATTTGATTTTATTTGTTAAAGATAATGAATGATTCATGTAGGTTAATACTGTTGTTTTATTCCTACTCTGGCGTTGAACTGAGTTCACTGCTTTTTGAAACGCTGATTTAAAAACTTGTATCTAAGTAATAAACTTGCAATTTTTCACCATTAGGAAGCTAATAACATGTAGAACTAGTGGCCGAACCTTTACATTGTTTGAAGAGCGTCAACATTAGTGAGCGACAGTATCTCACTATGCAACCAAAATCGTCTGATGCGTCATTAACTATGATCGCTCAACAAAAGACATCTTTAGTTTCCTAACAAGCTCCCTACTAAGTCAAACCTGCCTAGGTGAATGAGGTCATACTGAATATTCCTATCAGAGACATTGGGCATAGGCATATGCTAGAATGAGGCATCAGCGATGTGGTAGAGCTAGACGTTATGGGTCTCTTAATCTTGATTAAATATTTTTTCGCTTGGGTATGGATGTTGTGATTATCCGTAGGTGTTAGAAGGGCTCTGACTGTCCAACGTTGAGGTACCATCCGGCGGATCTCTAGGAATTCCTTGTGCCTGAAAATAATATGGGAACCATACGTTTGGTACTTCATCGCCTGTAGGAGGGTGGTCCCAGAAATACCCGACCTAACGAAGAAAACACAAAAAATGTATTTATTTTTCAACATAATCTAATTTGAGCTCTATACACTTTTCCCAGCGATGTTCAATAAGTTCGATACCCTTTTTATAATAAGAACTGTGTTGCTCCTCAAAATAGCCATTAACTGCCGACATCACTTCTTCATCGTTGGAAAATCTTTGACCACTGAGCCATTTTTTCAACTTTGGAAACAGAAAATAATCCGAGGGGGCTAAATCTGGTGAATAGGGTGAATGAGGTAGCAATTCAAACTTTAATTCGTTAATTTTGGCCATTGCATTTGGCAATAATACAAAAAAAATTATAATTAAAGAATAATTTATTGTATTAGAACTTATTAATCTGGGAATTATAGGGAGTAAAAGAGTAATTTCAACATCAAAAATTAAAAAAATAACAGCAATTAAAAAGAAATGTAATGAAAACGGTAATCGAGCAGGGGTTTTCGGATCGAAACCGCATTCAAATGGCATCCTTTTTTCTCGATCTATAAAACTTTTTTTTGTTGATCAAGGCTGGTTTGAATATTACGGAGGAAAAAAGTTTTTACTAATTATTCTAATTTTATTCAATTTTTTTCTTATAATTATTTAAAATTATATTTGATTTTAATAATTTTATGATTATTATTTTTATTAATATTATATTTAAATAACTTATAAATCAGAGTATAGTATTGAAGATACTAGGGAAATAGAAAATATTTTTAAATATTTATAAGGATAAAAATTATCCTAATTTTACAATGAAAATGTAATGTTTTTATATAAACTATATAAATAGAAATACAAACGAAATTTCATCGCTTAAAGGTTAAGTTAGAAGCTTATCTTTGAATTTCGTATTTCCTTAATTGGAGAAATTTCTCAATTTTATCATTAACAGTGATATACCTCTTTTTGGTATCGATTAATAAATTTAATTAAAAATAAGGATATATAAATATAAAATTTTTATGTCGAAACTAAATGCAATTTTTGCTTCTTACTGCTCAGGCAGCAGCGGTGGCCCCAGTAGTAGACTCTTCGGTCTCCTGATCAGTCGCCGTGCGCTGTGCGGGTTCGAGTCCCGTCCCAGGAGAAATTTTTCTCTTGACTATGGATGTTGTGATTGTCCGTAGGTGGTAGATGGTCTCTGACTGTCGAACGCGGAGGTACCACCCGGCGGATCTCGTAGGCGGAGCCAGAATGTGTGCATGTTACATGCACACGTGTTCCCTCGCCAGAGTCCGTGTGGCGTTCCCCCTTTCCCCTGTATCCCGCAATAGCCCCACGGTACCCAATGGGTGCTTAGGCCTTAGGCCTTCGTGGTAGTTGGAGTAGATAAAAAAAATAAAAATAACGGATTTGTGAGCTGGTGCATTATCGTGATGAAGCACTTTCTTCTTAACCAACTGCGGCTGTTTTTGCTTGATTTCATCGCTTAGACCTTGCAATAAGTTCGCATAATACT